ACGGCTAATGACGACTAAATGCTACACTGCCATTTGCATTCTTCTCTTCTTCGCGACTTGGTAACACAAAGTCGTTCCTCTTTTCTCTTCTGCTTCACTTCAAATCCGTTTGCAACTAGGATTGTAGACTATGCTTATTTCCCTGCTCTTCCACAATCAATAGTAAGGCTTCTCGATTCTGTTATCCCCCCTCAAGTTTGTGGTATCAGTTTGATCCCCAACTTAACTAGAAGTTCCTTCAGCCTAAATCGATCAAGACCCTTAGTGAAGATTTCTGCAAGTTGTTCAACTATGTTGATGTATTGTAATTAACTTGATCAGACCAAGCTTCGCCCTTTCTTTTGTCACGTGCATATTTATCTGAATATGCTTCGTTCTTTCACGAAAAACAAGGTTCTTTGTTATGTGAATAGCAAACCTGTTGTCACAATAGACAGTTATAGGCAAACGAACTTGTATAGATAGCTTTGACAGTAAACTTTTTAACCATTCAAAATCACAGACCAAGTGTGCCAAAGCTTTGTACTTTGCTTTTGAAGATGATCTTGAGACAGTAGTTTGTTTCTTAGTTATCCAATCTAATACAACAACCTAATTAATCAAAATAAAGTTTAATCGGTTTGGTTAATTGGTTAACCAGATTAACCAATATAACATCACATTCTCATTAAGTGAGACAATTTTTCGGTTAATGTATCAATTCACAATTTATATAATGAATAAAATATAACAATCAACACATCATTATACTTAATTATTAATATAAACACATACAATTAATATAATTATCTTACCTTCAATAGAAGTATTCACTTAACAAAAATATATGTCAACAGTATTGGGTTAACGAATTATTGTGTTTGTGTGAATTAACTTAGTCTTTTATCACTTACCATAGGTTGAAAAAGATCTTAAGTTTCTAGTCACGTGATCTTAATCACGAGAACTTTTTCCGTATTAAAAAGTATATTATTAGTCACGGTAAAATTTACTATAATTGATTGTATGTTTCTAATCATGGTTCAAAAAGGCACGCTTAATCTTACGCTTAGGCACGCCTAGGCGCAAGGCAATGGCAAAACGCCTCGCCTAGGGGTTCACGCCTAATTAGATAATGGAACACGTCATGGAGTAAGACGACATATAAGTCTCTCCTGAACATTACTAGATGGAGCTAGTAAGTCAATATTAAAGGCCAAAATTAACATCAACTACGAAATCAATTTTCTATTGCAATATTTTCAATAGCTCAAGAACTTTGTGAGCTATTGAGCTATAAATTATATGAATTCGTGAGCTATGTTCTTGTCATTAAGTGTTGAGTAAGTTATTAATCATTTAACTGAAGTGAGGAAGTGTTGTAGATAATTATTTCACTCATCATGCAATGCGAATAACTATTTTTCTTCCAACACCTAGGCACGCTTAGTCTACGCCTAGGCGAGCTAGGCACAAGGCTAAGGCTCAACGCCAGCTTTATGCCTAACGCCTTTTTGAACCTTGTTTCTAATCACGGTAATTAATTTACTTATATTTTAGTCTTCATTTCTCGTAACTAATTATTAATCATGGCAAATTACCATGAACAATATGACAATTAATTATTGAAAAAATTCGGTGTAATCAACAATGGATTTTTAAAATACTTTTTCAAATTATATACATAAAAAAATCAGCTACCACGCTAATTACAGGAAATATATATGATAGGCCAATTTATTATGATACAAAATTATTTGTTAAATTTTGACGTGATTAGTTATAGATAGGTGACAATTATCATCGACATTTTTATATGGATAATTGTATGAAAAATAAATTTTTATATTTAAATACGGCTCCCTCATTTTGTTTTGATCATACGGCTTGAAGTTGGGACTCCAAAAAAAAACCTCTAGAATTGGAACTATAAATTGAGATTCCTTTAATTTTGAAAACCCAAATCCATTTTGGTTGCCTGCAAATATTTCCCGCCTCTCATGTTGGCGCTTGGCGGCTCAAGATACAATGCATAACCATGCACCAATCAGTTACTAAATCTAGATCATTCATTCAGAAAAACCAGATATAAGGGTGGAGGATTAAATACATTTTTATTTTTCCTTGTTTTCTTAATCGGTTCTTATCTCCTTCGTTTTAACTCGGATTTCAATTTTTTTGCACTAATGGAACGAGTTTGTTGTGCTATACAAAATGAGGTCCATTTTCAATATTTTTTTTAGAAAAAAAATTATTGCCTCTCTGTACCAACTGCATATCATATGGAGGAATGCGAATGGGGCAGGTCCGGGGCTGGTATCACGATACCCATAGCCGCTCCGTGGCAGGTCGGGTAATTTATCATGGGTCGCAGGTTGGGGCAGGTCGACCCAATGGGTATGCAATTTATTTGGAAAACATTAGAAATATTCGTTAATTTCATTATAAGACCAAGAAAACAAACCATATTATGATAAATGTAGTTAAATTATTGGAGAAATTGAGTTTTCACTAATTTATAACTTTATTATAGCTAAAATATGATATAATAAAAGGAAAATAATAAGTAATTTGACTAAGATTACAAGTATCTTAGTTCTTAGACAAGAACGGGTCGAGAATGGGGCGGGTCAGGGCAGGTCGGGTAAAACGGGTCAGGTCGAAATGGTCATCCCTACATATGGTATCTTCTTCGTTTTAAAGTCATTTTTGAAAATTTTTGCACAGAAGGAACGAGTTCATCATGATCTATTGGATCTACAAATTTCTAGGTGAACAAAATACAGGACCAAAAAATACCACACAATACCACCCTAGTATGGGGTGGTATCTTGTGGTACACAATGTTAAAAGTCGTAAATGACATTTAATATACTTCTACTATCATAAATTCAACCATCCTACAGTCTTGGTTTGTTCATACCACCATGGTACACTTTTCATACCATAGGTATGCTCTTATTTCGATACCAGTCAATACCATTTGGTATAGACTAGTAAAAAATGGCTCAATTTTTTTCTTGTTAAAAAAATATATCAAAGTGGATATCATTTTGAAGAGAACAATTAATCTGATCTAATTGTGCAAAAAAAAAAAATACATTTCAACTTAAAACGAGTGAGAAATCGTCCGTCAAAGATTAGGGGAAAATTAAAAACTTTTCATGAGAGAGAAGAGGTGTTAATGTGACGGATGGTAATTAACCGAATCCGCTCCCATTTTGGCTGCCAAAAATTTTGGCTCCACAATCCTAAAATTTTGCCTCTAATGAAAATTTTGGCTCAACCATTTCAATATTTTGATACTCTCACCCGCAATTTCTTTTACAGAGCAAAATTAAAGTGGGTCAAACTTTGCCTTCCTACTTCATAACCAAACCCACCATTAGGGATGGCAATTTCGATCTGACCCGATTTATCCGACCTGTTTGACCTGTTTTGGGGCGGGTCCGTAGGTGGGGTGGGGCGGGCATGGATATCTCTCATCGACCCGACCTGCCCTGACCCGCCCCATTCTCGACCCGTTCTTGTCTGAATTACATATAATCTTAGTCAAATTCCTTTCCCCGAGCCGCTGCTGTTGCCAACCCGGATGCAAAGATCTGCGATGTTGTTTCTTCGGATGGTGAGGTGGTAAGGTGGGATCTTAATTTTAATTTCAATCTGAGAGGGGGTGCAGGGAGAGAGAGAGATTCTTTGCTTACCTTTTTAAACTATATGGATTTTAATTTCTCCGCTTTCAACCCAAGCAGAATCATTTGGACCCCTAAACCTGATTCACCTTTTTCAGTTAGCTCTATGTATAGAAACCTTGTGCAGGATCGGTTCACGAGGATTCTAGACTACCCCGACGCTGCTGTTTGGAAGGCTATTGTTCCGTCCAAAATTTGTTTCTTCCTCTGGACTCTGTCTCACAATAGAATCCTTACTCTCGATAATCTGAAGAAGAGGGGCTAGTCGCTTGCGAATCGTTGTATTCTCTGTTGCTGCTTTGAAGAATCAGCTAATCACCTCTTCTCGGACTGTGTTTTTACTAGAGAGGTCTGGACGTTTATCTACAGAGGGTGCCCTTCGGTTTTGGCCCCTTCTGGCGATGTTGTGTCTATTATTAGCAGGTGGCCTTCTGCTACTCCTAACAATATAGAAGGTTGGTTCAAGTTTGTTGTCCTCCACGCCGTCTGTTGGCAACTCTGGCTTGAACGCAACAAGAGGATCTTTCATGATGCTCAGTCATCCTCTTATGCTCTTGCTCGTAAAAGCCTGGTCATGACATCTTCTTGGATAGCGGCTCACAACAAAGTGGACAAGGATCTGAGCAAGAGTTGGATTGCATGCTGTCTCTCAAGAATCTGAGGCCTCCTAGGATTTTGTTCTCTCGTTTGGTCTCTGTTGTTGGGTTCCTTGGCGTTGTTTTCGGGTCCCAGTGTTTGTTGGTCCCAGTTTGTTTTTGTTTGTTTTGATCCTTCAGTGGTGGTCGGCTCCACCTAGTTGGATTTCCTTTTTCCTTTGGTTCCTTTTCCTGTTCTGTTCTTGTTCCGTTACCTTTGTCTCTTGCGTTTTGCTTTGCTTTGTGTCTTGGCGGTATTGTTGCTGGGCAGGTTCAGTCTTTTGAACCTTAACCTTTGTTCTCGGTTCTCTTTCCTTTCCTTTTATCAATATACCATTACCATTATGAAAAAAAAGTTATAAATAAGTGAAAATCTCAATTTATTCAATAATTTAACTATATTTTATCATATTATGGTTTCTTTCTTGGTCTTTCAATGCAAAGAACGAATATTTCTAATATTTTTCACATAAATTACATACCCATTGGATCGACCTGTCCCGATCCGCACCTGATGATAAATTACCCGACCTGCCATGGAACAAGTATGGGTATCGAGATACCCGCCCCGTACCTTTCCCCTTGCCATTCCAACCCACCATTACTTTTACTTTCACTACACTTTACATCGCTTCCCCCTTATATTCGTTCTTAACCCTACTTTCCTTTTCCTTTTCCACTGCATCCGTTATTTTCATTACTTCACCGTTTTGTTCACTGTGAGAATCGAACCAAAACCTAATCTTAAAACTACCTTTTTCCCTTTATAGCATGTGTTCTCGATTCATGGCTCGTTCTATTGAATTCGAGTTCTTCTCGATTCCTTAGCAGACGTTCTTCATAGTGGAGCGGAGCTGCTGGTTAGAGTGAACAGAGCTGCTGCTGCTGGCCGGAGGAAAGATGGGTTGCTGCTGTGAAAAACTAATCTCGCTCAAGGTATGAAAACCAAATAATTGCTCTCACCCAAATTGCATGTATCGGGTGGGGGTTGGTGGTTTTGGGAGTAGGATTTGTGCACAATCCTATATAGTGTGGGATTTTATTAAAATCACTCGTTTGGAAAACAATTATATGATGAGAGATTTTAAATATTAGAGATTTCAGAAACCCACAATTGTGGGATTATGAAATAGCTGATGGTGATCAGCTATTTTAAAATCCCACACAAATTCCACAAATTAAAAACCTGGATTTTTAAACAAGTGATTTGAGCCAAAATCTCACAAATTAAAAACCTGAATCCAAATGACCCCTAAAGTCAAAAAGAAAAATTGATAATCCTTTTCACCCCTAATGCCATTCTTTTGTTTCCACTCTCATGTTGATTTAGGTCATTTCCCCCTTTTTTTCAAGTAGCTAGAGCAGAATACTATTAAATAGACTAGCAGTAACCCCAACATAATTTCCTCTTCCATTTTCAGAACATCCAGGTTTGTGGTTTTACACTTTGTGCATTCTCTCGTTTTCTTGATCTTTGGTTTGTTCACGTATATGAAGCACTGGTAGCTACTGCAACTCACAGTCCAATTAATGACATAATAAACAGGTGTTGGTCAGGGGTGTTGATTGTGATGAAGTTTTGCTCGCTCTTGAAATTGAGGAATTTTGGAGGTCAAAGTCACTTGTGCCATTTTCCATATTTATTATGGTTATGCATGCTTTCTAACCAAGCTTTTTGGACCTTTCTGGATGACTACAAGTAATAATTGTGGTAGGATAACCACTTGGAGGTGATACTATTCTAGGGATAAAGGGATTTGTATCATGGATAGAGGTAGGATCTGACTTTGTGTGTGAAATTCGATTAATTTCTGTCAGTAGTTAGTTGGATGGTTATTGAGTGGTTTCTTTAATTAAATTCCAAGTACCAAGTCGACGAGTCCAGTTAACATATTATCATGTTAATTCGTATGCACATAGTCCAGTTAACATATTATCAAGTTAAATTAAAAGCTTGGTAAAAGTAGAAGTTGCACAAAAGATACATAAATACACTTTTAAGTTATCTTGGTGTATGTGTTTACATGTTAGTAATGTTGTGGTCGTTTCCTAATACTCAGCTTGGGGTTCTGTTTTTGCATTCTCTTATGAAATAACTGATGAAACACGGGGATGGAGTTTGATTGTTGTGAAATTACTGCTGTCATATATTTTTGCTTGGTTTGGATAGTGATAAGGATGGAGTTTGAGTGTTGTCAGCTATTGTTTAGATGTTTGTATAGGTTGAGCTCTTATTCTGTGTGGATTTGTGCTTCTACAGTTTGACTCTGTTTTGTCCTTGGGCAGGACAAATGTTATCGTACTTTGTTTATGTTTTATGTATGTTTGATTGCTTCTATGGCTGAGTTTGCTAGAGATAGCGGTAGCTATTAGCTCATATGGATAATGTAAACAAGGTAAACCTATGTGACACTATTTTAGTTTAAACAGTTCTACCATTCTGATATCTTTGCTGTTGTTGACTAATTGCTGTCAATTTTTTTGTTGAATGCAGGTTCTTATTTGTGTTTCTATTTGGAGAACAATATCAGTTTTGTTCACAAATTGCCATCATGGTTTTTTTAGCTTCTTTCTCCCATTGCCATCTCTGATAGTTTACTATTTAACAAGGCTTTGTTTAATGGTAATCTCTCACAACAGATAATCGTTGTCTGGTTTAGTTGAGTAGAAAGATTCTACCAATCGGAAACTTGTTCTCAATTTCCTCTTTATTTCAAAAGGCCATTGGTTTACTATTTACTATATATTGCCATGTGTGATTGTAACCCAAAATCCCACTTAATTTTGGTGTTTATGTGTTTTCTTTTTCAGTTGAAGAAGCAAGCAATTTTTGGTTATTATTTACTAATTTCTTTTGGTGATGTTACAAATAGGGTATTTCAAAACTCGATTAGTGGAAGTACAAAAAGTGAGGTAATGCCATATCATAGGCTTTTTATATAATAGAATTACTAGGTGGTGATGTCGCGCCTTGTCGCGGGCGAAGATGGTCTATAGGCATGTATTATGTGGCCTGTTGTGGTGTTTTATTAGTATTATTAGTCTAAAATTAATTTTTCGTTAGCGGTTTTGATAATAATATTGAGTGAGAAGAGATATATGGCGGTAGGGGTAACCGAATCAAAATTGGACCGAAATCGAACTAAACCGAACCGAAATCGAACTAAGCCCACAACCCCAAGCCCACACAAGCCCAAGCCCGCTACATCTTTTACCCATTTCTCTAGCCAAACCCTACCCCACCCAAACCTCACAACAATCAACAGTGGAGGGGTGAACCTTGGCGGCGGTCTCTCGGCGATGAAAGAGCAGAACGACGATGGTCCCTCGACGACCCCACCGGCGATTGCAACAATAGATCATCTATTATAGATGACGAAGAAGGAGAAGGCTCGGCGGAATGGGTGGAGAAGTACAAATCCTCGAGCTCTTTCAAGATATGCAAGATTCGATACCTTCGCCCCCAAATCAAGATCTGCTCGAGGCCATCGCTGTCGCCGTCGTCGCCGTGTGATTCTCTCCGTCAATCTCCATCGCCGGGTGCCCTTGGATTCCCTCTCGCAACCGGCGAGTCCAGTGATGGGAAGAAATCACGACTGCCGGACTGCGTATGCGACTATGCATTGGGCTTTGAGGAGAGAGAGAGAGGGTCTGCATAGATGGTAAATGGGGAGAGGGTTAGTGGGGAGAGAGTCCGAGAGACTTAATTATGAAATTTCGGGTTTGGCCTCAAAACCGAGATATATTTCGGTTGGCTCCATGAGCTATTTCGGGGACCCGGTAATCATTAGTTCGGTTCAGTTCGAACCGAACCGACCGAATGCCCACCCCTATATGGCGATCAACATCCAATTTAATATTTTTTGAAATTTTTGGCTAGTAAATGATATTTACCTAAATCCAAGTAGACCTATTGATTATGACTAGGGGTATGAGTGACGTATATATGGGTTTTGAAGTGTGTAGATGGAAGTTTATATATCTTTTACTTCTCTCTAGAGTATTTCTTTTTCACCTGGGCTAAAATTTTCAACAAATATACATGGAATGTTTAGCTAGATATCTACACATATCAAATCCCATAGTGGAAAATGACGACCTTCAAATAAGTAATAACCATATATATTTATTTTTAATTGAGCTCGACATTGAGTTGAAATAGTCAGTGGTTCATAGTTTAATTATTAGTTCTTTAGACTGTTGGTGAGTAGTGTATGGACCCGTTCATACTTGTGATTAGAATATATTAAAATAATATACTAATTAAGGTTAGACGAACAAGGCAAAGAAAGAAATAAATAAAGGGTTATGGAAGGAGAGTGAAAAGTGAAACGAAAAGAAAGTAGACGATGGAAAGATTTTGATCAATTCTTTTAGTTAGCCGTCAATACAACAGTCAACCATTTTCACCGTAGCAATTTAACGACACTTGCTTATGTAGATGTTGCATATTTTGTTACATGTAGTTAGTAGAATTTTGTTTAGTACCCCGTAAATGTACACAATGAGTTTATAAATTTGCTCTTGCAATATTTTAGAGTTGTATCTCTTTTTATCATTTATTTAATGTTTCACGTAATGAGCAAATATAAAATGGTAGAATCTTTTCCTGCAGTTGAGTGATACAACATCTACACAATAAATAAAAGTCAAATGAGAAAACTTGAAGCCCCATTTCAAATTTCCTGCATCCAGAGTGAAAGTAAATGTCTTCACAATTACTTTTTTTTATTCATTAAAAAGACATTTGCTAGGATTAGAACCATGGCCACTTTAAAGAAAAGCAAATGTCATAACCAATCACACTAAGTAGATTTGGTGTATCTTTTTAAATTAAAAACATATAATCGTATAGAGGAAAAAACCCTTTCCCCATTTCAAATTCTCTGCTCCAGGAGCGTTTGTAGGAAGGGTAGAATAGGGAGTGTCAATTTTTTTCTTTTTCCTCTGTGGAATGGGCCAACTTACTTTACACATGCGGATTTAAACGGGTCCAGGAGTGTCAATTTTTTCCTTTAAGTCTTTTTATTTCTTTGTGGTGGTAAAATATATATGAAAAGGAAAAAATAACACTCCTTTTTATTGCTAAAAAGAAAAAAAAATTTAACAATAAACTAATGCATGGATTCTAATGGGTTAACCGTTAATCATAAAATAAAAGAGTTGAATGAGCCTGACCTACACGGGATTTGCCCATCAAGTAAAACAAATGAACATCATGGGTTTGTCATTCTAAAGTAAGCTATTTTCTCTAGCATAATATATATTATGCTATTATTTTATATCTTAGTGGCTAAAATATAATGTATTTTAAAGTTATTCAATGGTTCAACCACAACCAACCCAATTAGTCCAATTTTTATCATTTCAAATATATATTATGTAATTATTTGATATCATAATGATTAAATTATAGTGTATATTATAGGAAATCGTTTGGTATTTGTTAGTAAAAAACTAAACAGAAAGATCTATTTGGTTATTTTTAACATTAAAACGATCCTAAACATTTTTCAGTTTCCTTTCGAAATTCTATAGTTTTATTCCCGGATCAGTGATGTGCAAATGGCGAATTGCAGTCATCTCTTTTCTTTCATTATTTTTTATTTTCAAATAGAAAGTTTAAAAAGTAAAGAATAATTAGAGTTTGGCATGGGTCCATCAAACAGGCTGAATATCAATTTTTGGACCGTTTTGATCAAGTCTAATTTATAATCACATGGTTCCCTGATATCCGATAAAAATCTCAATCCAAACCAGTTTGGCAGGTGAGTCCGTGTTTACCACCATTTTCTAGGGATACAGGAACGGTGGTTCCTGCCCCAAGTCGTGTTGTTCATTCTTGATTTCTTTAGATTTTATCACGGCTTGGCAAAAAATTAGAAAGCACAATGATGATAAGATGAAATTTTTATAAATCAAATTAATCGGCCAACGGGTCGAGTAAAAGCTAGTAACGACCCGAAAATCGGCAGGATAGGCGATTTTTTATTCGATTTTCTGGAATTCGGTTTCTATAAAACTTACTCCACCTCATCATATTACCAGAAACAATATTGTTTCACAAGGTAACAGGTACTTGATTTTGGTTCATAATGCTGATTTTTGATTCGTTGCATCATTCATGTCTCTTTCCTATAAAATTCACTATTTTTATCACGTGTTTCTAAAAAAAAACTATACAACAATAAGCTATACACCCCATTACATTATCAAATTTCATACCTCACCTTTCTCCGGCCAAATGGTCGGGGCCCACGCTAGTCTTGTATTATACAAACTAAATTTATACTTTTATGTTATGGTGGATTAGATTCATGGAATGGTCAAAAGGATTGGTGGATTGGATTCATGGATTCAAGTGAAATCTAAACATTGGACCAATATGTAAATTTGAAAAAATTGTAGGTATGAAAATCTTATAAATTTTAGATACCAAAACATAATTGTTCAATGATTTTATATTAAAATTAAATTTGGGATATCAAAATATAAATTTACATTATAGTGATTAATTAAGTTGTGATTTAATTAATTTGAGATATCAAAATGTAAATTGTTAGATAACACTAACCTAACTTCATCTTTATATATATTAATGTTAAGAATAAGTATCCTTCAAGATTTGTTAAGGAGTAAAATGTCCTTGTATATTCATTTTATTGGTTTTATGCATTGACTTGAGTTGTTCTCTTGATCCTTTGTTTTCCAAAAAAAAATTTCTTCAGTCCTATTGGTTGCAGCGGCGGATTCGCAAAAAATCATAATTTTTTTACAATATCAATTGTACACATCGATTTTTTAATATAGTAAATTCATCAATAAATGAGTCTACATACATGCTAATCGCATACTACTCTTTTTCAAATAAAATAGTTAATCAATCGGCGAGAAATTCACCGCTCATTTTGTTGCGAAATCATTTTTCACCTGTTCCCTTGTCGAAAAGGTTCTCTCCATAGTAGCTGTTGAAACGGACAATGTCAACACTAGACAAATTAATCGACTAATCAATTTGTATTGTGTATCCATCCATATTTCCACCACCTGCTCTAGTGATTTTTCAAGTGAACAAATCTCATATTTCTTTTAGTCTTTTACGTTTTAGATTTTTAGAAATTTAGGTTTCATTGTTTGTTTTTCTTTAGACGAGACTCATTTGAGCTAGAATTTCTAGACTAAATTTAGAGTTATGATTTTAATATGTTCATCTTACCCATTTTTTAATTACACACAATTTTAATAAAATAACACTGAACCGAATGGCTAAAATCAATAAACGCATAAAGACTATACTAGTTCCGGATCCAGAGAAGGCTGGGTCGTGGCCCGGGGTGCCCCTCCTGGATCCGCTACTGATTGATTGAATCGGATTGAGATGGTCAGTTGTTAAGGAAGATGTGGCAGTAGAGGAGCCATAATAACTAGTGATTGCAGCTGCTGTTTTTTTTTTAAGAACCATTAAGCCTAGTCGCTGTTTTTTGAGATCACATCATACAATGCATATACTATTAGTATTTTTTTATTGTTGTTCATGGCAGATATAATAGTGTAGGTTGCTTGGGATGGAGTTCATGAGCAAAGATTTTGTTTGCTAGGAAATAATTAGATATATGTAACTAGTACTAGTTTTTGTTTGGTCTAAATTTCATTATTATTCAATATATTGATGAATAATTGTATTGGATTAATGAAATTGACAATAATGTTCATACTATAAGAATTGGTCTTTACAATTGTATGTTGATATATATAATTATAGATTCGTCAATGATACACAAATATGAAGACTAGTGAGTAGTATTTAATCATTGAAGAATCAGCCAAATACCGTGACAATTGATAGACATCATTGAAGAATCAGCCAAAAACCGTCTTAAAAGAAGCACATCTTGTATTTAAATGTGTTTTTCTTGGATGTGTGCTCTAAATTATGACATTAGACATGGTTTTTCCATTGATTAATAGATACAAATAATCATGAAAAAAGTACCATGACTAGTTAAATTAGTCACAGTACTATAACTAGTCACGGAGTTTTATATTACAATAAATTTCTTGTGACTAAAATTATTAATCACAAGAAACATGCTTTCAAACACGGGATTCCCATTATTAAATGACCTTTTTCCTGTAATGCAAGTTTTCATCTAATATAATGTATGAGTTTTATCTAAATTAGGCATATATATGTTGTGGTCTACATTCTACAAATACAAATATACAACATAGGAACAATATTGAGATTTATTTTTCATGATTCTCAAAGGATGAATGTTTGGTTGTTGAGTTGTTATGTAAAGTATTATGTTTTTATAATATATATTAGATATATAGCTGTTGGACCCGTAAATATGACATGGCCCAACTCGAACAACAATGGTAATCCACAAGCACGTATGAGCCTAAGCCCACAAAATACCACAAAGACCCAATGGAAGCCCAATGCAAGGTGACAAGGCTTGACCTATAAATATACTTTTAGGTCTTCCAAGTAAGGGTCTCTTCTTCTCTACTCATTTTCACATATTTCTTATCTCTCCACAATATCTCTCTCTACATGAACTCTTCCTATTTCTCCATCACCATATTAATGTTGATCGTCGGAGTGTAGATGCAGGGGGTCATCCCCGCCCTTTCACAGATTTGGAGTTCTACTTGTTTCTTGGCTGAAACAATTGGCGCGCCAGGTAGGGGGAGTGCAGATGCTTTTGTTGGTTTGATTGAGGGGACGGCGAATGACAGTAAACTTTTTTATTCTCTGGCTCGCCAGACGGAAGCTGATCGGGAAAAGATAAAAGCAGATCTATCGATTTGTTTTGTTTGCTTCCGAGAACATAAAAAAAGTGGGAACTTTTGGCGAAACTCCCAGATCCGACTCTTACCGTCGTCGGTCATTCCCTCTGCTCTCAGTCAGTGTTTGGAAATTTCCAGCGTGAATCCCGCCCGTGGAAGATGGAAGGGGTAGATCTGTCGCTCGTTTTATTTGTTAGTTTTGGCGGCGGAAAAATGAGGGAGTTTCTGGGAAAATCAAGATCCACCCCTTCTACAAAAACCCAGAACTGGCTTTATGTATGTGTTCATGGAGCTCACCAAATCTGTTTGTGGTTGTTCTTTATGGAAAGAAATTGAGGCATCTCTTGAGGCATTTTCTGATCTCCCTCTTCTCAAAAGAAAGAAGAAACAATATGGAGGAGTACTTCCCAGGGAAGCTCCAGTGAACACGGATCCAAAACAAGAAAGAGAGGAGAAGCATATGGAAAGCGCCAGATTAAGAGAGGAGAAGATGAGGCGTCACACCTCGCCGATGCAATCAAATAGCAGGTGCCTCGGCCCGATATCACCTTGAAGGCGCAATATAGTGCCACGTATGGAAAACCCCGGAAGGTGGGATGGAAAGCAAGGCGCCCTGGTTCGTCATAGGAAAAAAAGACTCAACGCGGAAGGGAAAACTAATAGAAAGAAAAAAGAATAGAGAAGCTTGCGCCTGCAATTCCCAATAGTATCCAGACAGGGAGGAAGCAGGCTGCCGGAGAGAGGAGGCGCCAGCCACACATCAATAGGCCACACGCTTTTCGAACCTAATGCGCCCTCTGAACATAGCGCATGATGCAGACACCACCAATTAAACAGAGCGTCGGACCTATCCAGTATCAAGCCCAAGACTGAAGAGATTTTCATTTCAAGCCCATGTGTTCATGCCTAAGCGCATGCCATTTTGCTAAGGAAGAATGAAGACACTCGACAAGGGCATGATTCAAATTAAATCTGTCCAATTTGAAGTTATGCGCTTTCGCCATCAGCTCAGCTACACGCCGTCAACTTGTGTCCTTTTTTATTCTATCAGCAAGTTGGGCTTTTAGCCCAAGCGCATGAACTCCCTATTGAATCGGCGACATGCACAAGCGAAGCTAGCGCCTCCAGCATTTAGCCGACCCAGAAGTTCATTTATTGGCGGCGGCTACAAAGCCCATCCCAAACGCCTAACTTGCAAGCAAAAATGAAGGCGCCTAAACTCAAAACGAAATATCCACCTAGTCTTGATCACTAGACTCCAACCCAATCTAAGTACTCTACCTAAGTACTCTACTCCTTTGTGAAACTTGGTTTTTTGTCCCTATCAAATTTTGTTTCCTTGCTTGGCAACTCTCTGGATCCAAGTATAGCGCACTTGATGTAAATACTCTCCACGCTCTAATATAGCGCCCACGGTTTGAAATATTTTTTGCGCTCAAAATTAGCGACCTTGATTGGAAATACTCTCAACGGCCATATCTAGCGCCCTTGATTGAAAATACTCTCCGCGCCCAAATCTAGCGCCCTTGATTGGAAATACTCTCCGCGTCCTTGATTGAAAATACTCTATAGCTAGAATACAGCGCCCGGAATATTTGAAGCGTCTTACTATCGATATGGGTATTATCTCTATGTGCAATGTCAAACTCTTATGAGCACATGACTTCTAAAGCGCCATTTCATTTTCATATGTTGCTCCATTTCATTCTCTAAGCGAGCCATAAAGGGACACTTGTGAGATTGTGGGGCGTCCATCTCTAAGTGGCACCCTAGTTATTCACTATTCGTGACTTGGCTCCAACCCTATTCTTGGACAATAATTCGACAAGTACAAGGAAGCACATTCAGGATTCAGGAATCAGCTAAGTACTTTCTACTACTACTCAAGTTTTATTTCTAATCATTGCAATATATGAATAAGCTTAGTATACTTGTGATTCTTTCCTTTGTTTAATTAATTTGGTAACGAGGGCATGAACTAGGAGAAGAAATACCAAATGATCTTATGTGAAATAAATATCCAATTAGGTACTTGAAATGCCATAACCTTGTGTTTTCCCGGCGAGAAAAATAAAGGAAAGAGAATTGGATTTTTGCACCTTTGACTTCCAAACAAACGATCAAACAACACAGTTCACACCTCTTTAAACAAAGTTCAAACAAGGGTGTTCAATGTTTAGATGAACTACGAGGCAAGCTAAATTACATTAATTCTACTCCTATGGAGGTTCAGTGAGAGCTCCGAAACTACAACTATGGCTACATTTGCAGAGGAAAAGGTAAAGATAAAAGGATAAAATTTGACAATAGGTTGTCTGGTGTGATTTTGGCGACCCCTTTCTCTGTCATCTTCACCTCCTATTTATAGCCACCAGAAGTAACTGCCCCAAGAAACTGCTCTGTTGACATGGAGTGACGGTTACCCACTCAACTGCTATGACAGTTACCTTGATGTTGGATGTGGGATCCTCTTCAGTCTTGACTTCCTCCTCTTGAGACCTCAACATCTGCTCTTGGCATCTCCTTCGTAGTTTTGCTTATCCATAGAGTAAAAATGGCCAAGGCATGAAAGCAGACCACATGCCACATATGGGTGGGTACTCGAACCACCTGAGTCAAAATGGAAAAAATACTTCACCATTACGAGAGTAGGGAGGCCACGTGCTCAGATGACCCCCCTTGACCACCTCATGAGGGTGGTGTCTTGGTAGCCCACCTGGCAACCTCATGGGGGCGATGTTGACCACGCCCCTTTGCCATACCATGGGGCCGTATGTTGGTGACCCCCTGACCATACCACAGGGGGAGGATATTAATCATCGCCCTGATCATATCATGGGGATTGCATGCTAATGGCGGGGTGTGTTGATGGCCACCCCCTAATCATCTCATGGGGGGTTCTCCTTGCCATCCTTGGTGATCACCCTCGTGTCATATCATGGTGCCTCCTTGCCTCACCATACTTAATCGTATTTCACACCGCATGGGGGTGGTGATCCCATGCTACTCCATGAACACTCCATGGGGGGTGGTAATATGACCCCCTCACTACATCCTGGGGGTGACAATATGATGCCCACCCCCTTGCCATGTCATGGGGTTGACTCCCATACTCCTCGCCTTAGCCAAATTTGGCCATCACCCCCCTCATCATAAATTCGGCCATCACCCCCCTCACCATGTCATGGGGGTGGCGGCATGATGTCCACCCCCCTTGCCACGTCCTGGGGGTGGTATGATGGTGGCCACCCCCTTGGTACCTCTTGGGGTGGCGATATGATGCCCACCCCCTTGGTACCTCCTGGGGGTGGCAGCCTCCCTGGGGGTGGAGATATGATGGCCACCCCCTCTGCATGTCATGGGGGTGGCTCACATACTTAGCCAAATTTGGGGATGCATGGCGCGCGTGGTGGCATGGAGTAATGGGCCCAAAAATCCAATCTCCATGGCCCACTCAACTTATTTAAACTGATATGATTAAGTTGGCCTTATAAAGCCATTTAATTCCTTGTTATTAACCGATGTGGTACACGGTTAATTTTTATGGGTAAACAAATGCCCCCCAACTACTTAGTGCATAAGAATTATGGACTAAGTAGTTTCACACCAACTAGGTCATCAAACTCAAATAGTTGGCCTTATATTTTAAATGACTAAAACAATCCCAATTTATTCTCCTTTGCCGCCGTGTGGGAGGAAGGAAGGGAGTCAAACATAATTGTTCCATTGTCCTTCCATCTCGACACAACTGTGCCCCCCATGCCACTGTGACCACCAACACTTATGGTCACTCTTAAATCACACGGGCGGTATTTTTTGAAGTTATTGGGCTAGAACAACAGCATGCCCCCCTAGTTAATCCAAACTACTACTAATCATACCCCATTCCATTCACCATCACCTCCATGTCTTGTCATGAAGGGTGTGGTTCACACCTTAGCAAAATTATAAGCTTTGGCATGATTAGGCCACCTTAATGGTCTAGCAGTATGAGTAATGATTGAGGCTTACCAGTCGTGGCAATATCCTCACATCGAAACCTACTAACTCCTACTCAAACTTGCCACTTCGACATTTTAAATATATATATAGCCATGATTGGCTTTTCTATATTAATTATTTTCCCCCTTTTTTATTGCATATAATAAGTAGTTACAAGCATCATTGATCTCCATACCCTTTGGCAATAACCAATGTGCCAAAGGTATACACCCACTGCCAAGTCCATGTATTAAACCAAACAAGCCAACCATACACCATTTGTCCATGGTTGTTCAAATGAGATGATTCTTCACAAGTTGGCTTTGAATCACCACCTTCACCATTTTTTCCCTTCTGACCCTTACCATCACTTTGGACTTGGACGTGCTTGCCCTTGTCAGACACTATTACTTTGGGACCCGTGGCCACAGAGTTGTCCACCTCAATAGTAGCATGACCATCCTCAGTTTGTTGTGATAGCCCCACTATCTCACCAGGTACTATTGGGTATTGCCCTTTTCGTGCTTTAGCATTCTTACGTAGGAATCTCCTCCTTTGAGTCTTTGTCATCCCCCCAATAGCTACTGGTTGACTATGCATATCATAAGTATGCCCCCCTCCTTGTGGCACATTGGGCATCTTTGAAGTCCTTCTCATGGGAAGAGGGCCACATGCCACCCATTGCCTTATTTGCCCCCATGTCGGTTGAATGACCCCCTCTACTTGTCTTTGATAGGATGGGTATCTCGACCTATGGGGTGGGCCAATTCTTTGTTGGACTAGTCGATTCGGTTTTACTTCATCAAGTATAAGATTCCTTTTGCATTGGGAACATAGCTTCTCCACCTCACTAGACACCTTAGATGCGGCCGAGTTGGCCTGCGTGCCCCTCGATGACTTACCCTGCTCAACCACTACCTTGGGGATCCCTTGTTGCGGTGTTGTATCTAACACCAGTTTGAAACGAGGAAGCTCAATCTTTGAGAAGTCTGGATTAACCATGTTAACACCAAGCACGTTGGGAAACGGGTTGGTATCCACCAGCATGACATCTTTCTTTGGCTCGGGGAGCTTGATGCGACCCTTCTCAATAGC